GGCAAAGAAATAAAACTCGCTCTATTTGCAGACGATATGATCCTATACTTAGAAAATCCCAAAGACTTTATAAGAAAATTATTGGAACTCATTGGTAGATTTGGCAAAGTGGCAAGGTACAAGATCAACATACAAAAACCAGTTAGTAAAAAAACAAACAGAAAATACCACCAGTTGGATCCCTTTACACTAGTAAAGGGAGCTGTTAAAAGGACATCAGCCCATTTGACCTAGTCTTTATGGTTTGATAATCAGAACTCGACTAGAGGAAGATGACAATTTTTTATAAAGGAATGAGTATAAATTGCTACAATTTGATGAACTTGGCCTATACTGATGGATGTAGTAGCTCAAAATACCAACAGAGAGGGACGAAGTCTTCACATCAAGTGTCAATCCTATCCTCTCTGTATACAGGCAAGTTAGACATTGTTGTTGTTAAGTGCTGTCAAGTCAATTCCAACCCCTAGCAACCCTGAATAGGGTTTCCAAGGATCAGCTGGTGAGCTTGAACCACCGACCTTGAAGTTCAAACAGCTTTACAGTCTGGTGCATTAATCTACAGCACCACACCAGGACTGAGGGGGCAATAAAGACACAAAGTGACTGGCTTACAAGTTTTCAAGAGGAAGTTTAGTTTAACATTTTGTGGGGGGAGATGGAGTTCTCACTGAATAGTTTTCATCTTGTCTAGATGGGTCCGGTGAAAGGAGATGGGGATAAGATTCTTATGATTCAATAGTGAGTAATTGTTATCATGACTAATTGCGACTGTCACAACTGTAAAGGCAGACGTTTTGTAACAAAAAAGAGAGAGTAATTAATCTTACAGTCCAGAAATAGAGGAAATAAAGGACCCTAGAACCATTAAGAGAGAAGAGCACAAGCAGAATGCATGACCCTATCGAGAGAAGCAGCGACACCAGAGATGGAGGCAGAAATGAGGACATGGAGAGAGGGAGCAGCTGAGGGCTCTAGAGTCATAGAAAGAGAGGGACTGAGTGTTGGCTTGCAGAATGTGCCCTTCAGTTGTTTAAATTATTATATATTCCTGTGTGTGTTTGTGTATATCTCCCTACCCCATTCCACCCCCCACTCCAAAAAAAAAGAGGGAATGGAAGCAAATACTGTTGAATGATGACGCATGGAGGAAATTGCAATCATTGCAATAAAAACAATGGTGTAAAGCTGCTGTTCTCCCATGTAAAAACTATCACTCAGTTCACAATAAAAATAAATATACAAATAAGGAAATCAGGAAAACAATACCATTTACAGTAGCTACCCAAAATGAAATGCTTGGGAATAAATCTAACCAGAGAAACAAAGATCTATATAAAGAAAATTGCAAAACACTACTATAAGAAACCAAGAAGACCTATAGACATGAAGGACTAACTATACCCTGCTCATGTATAAGAAAGCTTAACACTGTAAAAATGTCAAAACTATCCAAAGCAATCTATAGATGCTATCTCAGTCCAGAGAGTCCAACATCATTCTTTAAAGAGCTGGGAAAAAACTAATCATTAACTTTCTATGGAAAGGAAAGAGACCCCAGATAAGCAAAGCATTATTAAAAAAGAAGAAACCAAGTAGGAGACCTCTCACATTTCAATCTCAAAACCTACAACACAGCCATACTAGTCAACAGCCTAGTACTGGTATAACAAATGACACAGATCAGTGGAGCAGAATTGAGACCCCAGAAGTATATCCCTCCACCTATACAGTCAGTTCATCTTCTACAAAGGCCCCAAATGCAGTAAATGATGAAGAGATAGTCTCGTCAACAAATGTGCTGGCAAAATTGGAAATCCATTTGCAGAAAAATGAAGCAATACCCATACCTCACACCATATACAAAAACGAGCTCATTGTGAATTCAAGGCCTAAATGTAAAACCTAAAACTACACAGAAATGTATAATTTCAATGAAAAAAATAGGGACAAATTTAGGAGCTCTGATGCATGGCAAAAATACACTGTCAAACATAACTGAAAACACACAAACAGAAGACAAAAGAGATGACTTGGAACCTCCTAAAAATTAGGCATTTATGTGCATCAAAGGATTTCACCAAAAGAGTAAAAAGAGAAACCGCAGGCTGGGAAAAAAATATTTGGCAATGATACATCAGACAAAGGACTACTCTCCAAAATTTATGGAGCACTTCAAGGTCTCAACAAGAAGACTAATAATCCAATTAAAAATAGAGGACATAAACAGATATTTCACCAAAGAAGACATTAAGGCACCCAATAAAAATATGAAGGAATATTCACGATCATTAGCCATTGTTGTTGTTAAGTGTCAGAGTGATTCCAACTCATAGCACCCTTGTATAGGGTTTCTAAGGAGTCTGAACTGTTGACCTGTGGTTCAAACTTACCTGGTGGTCCAGTGCTTATCCTACAGCGCCACACCGGGACTTCATTAGCCATTGTTGTTGTTGTTAAGTGACTGAGTGATTCCAATTTATAGTGACCTTGTGTAGGGTTTCTGAGAAGCCACTGGTGAGTTTGAATTGCCGACCTTGTGGTTTTAATTGACCTTTCAGTCTGGTGCATTAACCCACAGCGCCACAACTGGACTTGTTGTTTAGTGCCATCAAGTCAATTCCAACCCATAGCAACTCTGTATAGGGTTTCCAAGGAGCAGCTAGTGAGCTTGAACTACCAACCTTGCAGTTCAAACGACTTTGCAGTCTGACACATTAACCCACAGCACCACACCAGGACTCCAGACACCTGAACTTAAGAGAGATGCAAATCAAAACAACAATGAGATATCATTTTACTCCAGTATTAATAGCCAAGTTCCAAAAAACAGAAAACAATAAATGCTGGTGAGGGTGTCAAGAGACTTGGACCCTCCTACTCTGTTGGTGGGATTGTAAAATAGTGTGACCGCTGTGGAAGATGTTATGGCACTTTCTGAAAAAGTTGGAAATAGAAATACCATATGAGTAAGGAATCCCTCTACTATATAAACTCAAGAAATAAGAGCTGTGGCCTGATTGAATATGTGCACACCCACGTTCAATGCAGCACTATTCACAACAGAAAAATGCCCATCAACAGAATGGTTAAGCAAACTTTTGCATATACATACAATGGGATGTTATGCAATGCTGAGTAATGGACAAATCTGCAAAACTCCTCACAACATTGTGAACCTGGTGGACGTGAAATTAGTCAACCACAAAACGACAAATAATACAAGAGAGCATTGTTGTCAAAAGCAAGAAAAGATTTTCTTGCTAAATGAAGTCTTCTATGATGGTTACAGGGCTGGTGTGGGGGAGCGAAAAAAAAATGAATAGAGGTAAATGGTTACGAATCCGGGCTGCTAGTCTCAGGGTCAGCAGTTCAAAACTACCAGCCATTCTGCAAGAGAAAGATGAGGCTTTCTGCTCCCGTAAAGATTTACAGCCTCAGAAACCCTGTACAGGGTCGCTATGAGTCGAAACCAACTCCACGGCACACAGCCACCACCACCACCACTGTTAACTGATGGTACATGGAGTGGATTGCAATCATTGTAATGACACGAAGTGTATAATTTGTTGAATGTGGAATGCTGTAGGTTCCGTAAACCTTCACTCAATTCACAATAAAAAGTTTTTTTTTAAATGCTTCCACATAAGTCCTTTTACCCAACCCTTATGGCTAGTTGGGATATACAAAGTTAGGAACGTTACGATCCATTTATTTTCATCTTCATGCAATCCTGGGAACTAAGTATCTTTTGCCCTCATTTTATGGATGAAGACAGTGATGTTCAGAGTAGTTCAATCACACACCAGACTGAGACAGACACCGTGCTCAGTTATTTACAGGCATTTGTTGTTGTTGTGTGCCGTCGAGTTGGTGCCGAACCATGCGACCCTGTACAGCGTTTCCGAGGCTGTAAATCTTTACGGGAGCAGAAAGCTTCATCTTTCTCGCTCTGAGCAGCTGGTAGTTTCCAACTGCTGACCTTACGGTTCGCAGCCCGATTCGATTCGTAACCACTACGCTACCAGTGCTCCTTATTTACAGGCATTAGTATTAGTATCTCATTAAATCCCCACTACAACCCCGCGACGTCACTCCTTTTATTAACCCCAAATCCTGGCGTGGCGCTGTGGGTTAATGCGCTAGACTGCAAAATCGGTTTGAATCACAAGGTCGGCGGTTCAAGTTCAGCAGACGCTCCTCGTAAACCCTATACAGGTTCGCTATGGGTCGGAACTGACTCAACAGCACTTAACAGCAACAACAACTGATGAGAAAAATAGCTTCAGAGAATGCTAGTGACTTGCCCAAGACCACACAGTAAGCAGGTGGCTAAGCAGAATTCAAAGGGGTAGCAAGAAGTATATCTGGAACTCATACAACTAGGACCCCAGCCTAGGCCTCCTTCTCTCATACCCCAGAGCCTTGCTCCCTGCCAGCCTGGCTGAAACTAACAAAGACCCTCAAATAGAGGCTCTTCATCGAAGTGTTTGGTAGCCACAAACGCAAGGAAAGGCCCCTTCTTGCCAAGCCCTTCCCAGAGAAGTCCGGGTCAACAGGAGATGGCGGGACAGAGAACCGGTTGTCCCGGAGGTGGCAAGCGCAGGGCGAGGCGGTACAGCCTGCGGAAGAGGTTCCAGGGCCTCGGCGCGTTCCAGCCGCCTAGCGGGGTGGGTGGGGCCGAAGAGCCCGGCTCCCGCCCCTTCTCTCCTCCTAGTGTGGTTCCCTCCCGCGGTCCCGCCGCCAGCAAAGCAGTGGCCAGGCACTGCCTGGGCTGAACATTCCCGATCGGCTCCGGGAGAAGCACCCGGGAGGAGCAACACTGAACGCAGAGCTGGGGCGCTAACGACACCCGGGACCTTCCCTGGAGGGTGAGCTCTCCGCGCCGAGGCAGCACAGAGCCAATGCATCCCCTGGCTTCCCGGCTCCGCTGACGATCGGAAGGGTTCCCGGAGCGCAACAGCTCCCACGCCCAGGAGTCCGGCGCGGAGCTCAGCACTGTGATGTCCGCACGCGTGGGCCTCGTGCTGCGCGCCCTGCAACTGCTGCTGTGGGGCGGCCTGAGCGCGGAGCCCGCGGAGCCTGGAGGAGAGGAACTGCGCAGACAGGCGGAGGTACCGGGTGTGTGCGGGAGGAGAGGGGTCCAGAACTGGGCAGTCCGGCTACCCGGCCGTCTGCAGTCCCGTCTTCATGCTCTCCTCCCCTTACACTTGCCTGGGACAGCATTCCCTCCTCTCCCCCTTCCCCGCCCCCCACACACTCTCCCGGACCAGGGCTGGGACCACACAGGTTCAGTGATCCTCTTTGATTGTCGGAGGGCATGAGGGAGGGGAGGAAGGGACAGCGACAGGATGGGGGTATACATAGGCTAGAGCTGAGAGGGAACCACCCACCCCAATTTGGCTCGGAGTCGCTGCCCCTCGCCGAGTAAGCCGAGGAGAATTGGCATTCTTCCATCGGTTGCCCTTTGAGACCCAATGCTGTGTAAGCTAGTGTGTTGGGTATAGCTGAGTGGCTCTACATGCAGAATAGAAGTGCTCCTGGATTTAGGACTAGTTTCCTCGCCTGCGCGGTCAGGTCATTTAAACTCCTTAGAACTAGTTTCTTATCTGTAAACTGCACACGAGTAATACTACTCTTAAAAGTTGCTTTAAGAAGCTTTTTAAAACTGTTTCAGGATTGAACTGGAGAAAAGGAGTCCGGGAGGTGGAGCTGAACCTTAAAGACTTTCCATTTTGTCTACTTTCTTTGAACCCAATTGATCTCTATACCTAGGACAAGAAGAGCTTTTTGAGAGATAGAGGTGGGTCCGTGTCCCTGGGTGGTGCAAACCGTTAAGGGCTAGGCTGTTAGGTTGGCTATTTGAATTCACTCAGAAGCTCCTGGGAAGGAGTCTAGCTATCTACTTCCAAAACGTCAGCCATTGAAAACCCTATGGGGCGCCCTTGTACTCTGCCACATGGGGTCACAGTGAGTCCAACGGCAATTGGTTTGATGTTTTTGTTTTCTTTTTTGAGAACTGGGTCTATTTTCTAGATAAGGTCTTTGTAATAATACAATATCATCATTTCTTTCTTCCCCACGGAAGCATCTCAATTTGTGCTCTAAATTTTCAGCAACAGGTTTGGGATCTGCACTATTTTATGGAGAAAAGATGTGAACAAGTTCTAAATTACTGAGCCCAGAGCTCTGCCTAAGGCTCTTGCTCCCAACGAACTTTATTCCGGCCTAAACTTGAGAGCTTCTCCCCCCTTCCCCGCTCCCCAAACACGACTCTCCTTCCCTAGGCCATCAGAAGGGGTATACTGAATTTGGAAAACTTGCAGAATGAAGATCCTCTCTGAATCCTTCTGAATCACCTTTCCTTCTCTCAGACAGCTCCCATCATCACTGTGCAATATTTGGAAATGGCCCTGTACAAGGGGATGCTTTCTCAAACATTCTCCCCTTGGCTGCCAAGCACTAGTCTCTGGCTCTGTGATCTCAACTTTTGCACATTCAGGGAATCACTTTGTTTCTCTGGAGTCAGAATCTTACAACATCCAGTTTAGAGTTCCCATGGCCCCAGGAGAAGGCTTCTGCCTACCAAGCCAAGTCTTGTTAAGGGTCCCACCCAACCTCCCCCCAAGTCCCGGTCACAGTCAATCCTTGGCAGGGGAACAGAGACAATATCCCTGTTGTCTATGCCTGTGGTGGCCCCAGATGGAGAGAATTTGGGGTGTGCTTAGGAAACTTAATATCTAGCAGATTGAGTCTCTTTCAGTATACTTACCATAATTGGGGGAAGGATTTTTTTTAATGTGAGAATGAGAAATATTTTAAAACATAAAAACCTCTGGAAGTGTGTAATGGGTGTGCCTAGTCATATGTCTCATTATGCCTGTGCCTGCACATGTGTGTGTACATACATGTAAATTGGTGTGTGTTTGTGTATGTGTCTCAGAATGTTTCTGTATATGGTTCATTGTATGGGCTTTGATGTCAGACAAATATAGACTCGGACCATAGGCAAATCTTTTAACTTCTATGAATCTCTGTTGTTATTTTAATCTGTAAAATGGAGAATGATAATGTCTATCCCCAAGATTGCCCTGTGGTTTAATGGAGATGCTGTTGTTAAGTACCGTGGAGTCAGTTCCGACCCATAGCGACCCTGCACAGGGTTTCCGAGGCTGTAAATCTTTATGGGAGCAGAAAGCCTCATCTTTCTCCCGTGGAACGGCTGGTAGTTTCAAACTGCTGAGCTTGTGGTTCGCAGCCCGATTCGTAACCACTACGCTACCAGAGCTCCTTGGAGATGCTGTTAAGTGCTGTCAAGTCTGTTCAGACTGTATAGGGTTTCCGAGGAGCGGCTGGTGAGCTTGAACCACCGACCTTGCAGTTTAAACTGACTTTGCTGTTCAGTCCATTAACCACAGCGCCCCATCAGGACTAAAATGCTCAGCACAGAGCCTAGTATTGTTGATAAAGCAGTAGATAAAAGGCAGCTGCTATCAGTGTTGCTCTTATTATCCTTATCATTATTTTAAAGAATAGAACTTCAGGTTCAAGTTCTGGCTTGGCGAGTAGCTTTTCCACCGTAGACAATAACACAGGACAAAATATGTACGTCGAATGTTTTCAGCATTGAACAACAGGCAAACAAGAACTATAATTCTTAAGAGATGGTGTTGCAGTTTCTATGGCTACATTGCAGATTACTCAAAAACTTAGTGACGTGAAGCAAACATTTATTATATTCACAGATTCTGTGGGTCAGAATTCTGAATAGCGCACATTAAGGTAGCTTGTCCCTGCTCTATAATGTCTGGGGCTGGCTTCCTCATAGCATGGTGGCTGAGTTCTGAGAATGAATGTTCCACCAGACAGAAGTTATATCTTTTGTGTAAGTTAGAGTCAGATGCTGTATAGCATCACTCTATAGGCTCCCACCCAGACTCAATAGGAGGGAGTATGTTGTTGTTGTTAAGTGTTATTGTGTAGGCTCCTACTCACAGTGACCCCTGTATAGAAGCGGCTGGTGAGTTTGAACCACTGACCTTTTGATTCAAACTAACCTTGCAATCCATTGCTTTATCCCACATTGCCGTGATTAAGAAGACAATATGGAATGAGAGACATAGATGGGCCCGGTTAAGGAGATACTCATATAATCTGACACAGAAGAGAAACTCAAAGCAAATCCTACAACCACCCAGTACTGTGATCAAGGACATTTCCTTGAAAACAGTTCAGGGAGTTAGAGCCCTAGCTAAGCACAGTACTCCTGTAGGGATCAGAGGCCAGAGATCAGAGCTACTGGAGCAGCTGCAATCTGTGGAGTCCAGTGCATCATAGAAGAAGGAGCTCTGTAGAAGGAAGTTCCCGTAAGTCTGTGTGTGTGTGTGTGTAGGAGTGGTGGTGAGGATGGGAGCAGTCATTCCCTGAAGTCTTTGGCTGGGAACTGCCCTGGCATGTGTAGGTGGCTTGTCAGAGAGCAGCTGTTAAAGGACTTAGAGCACAAATAAGCAGATCTAACTCCAAAGCATGGTCCTTTCTCCTAAAGTGTGACATTTCTGACATTTCAGATGGATGCCTGCAGTGTTAATGGTTGTCATTTCCCACTTCAGTTAGTCTAAAAACTCAAACACCTTCCAAAACTGATCAGCTTCTAGAATAAGACTTAATTTTACAAAACCTTTCAAGTGGGTAAACAGAAAACACGTATTTTCTCTATTTATAACAATTTCCTTAAACGACATCTGTATGCTTAAAGTAAAATGGTACCCAAATGTGGTATGTTGGCTTTACAAGTAAAGGCATTTAATTAACCTATACCACAAATCAAACCCACTGTAATCAGTTAATTCCAAGTCATAGGGGCCCTTAGGACAGAGTAGATTGCCCCATAGGGTTTTCAAGACAATACTTGTTTATAGAAACAGACTGCCACATCTTTCTCCTGTGGACAGGTTTGAACCAATAACCTTTTGGTTAGCAGCTGAGCATTTTAATCACTGAACCACCAGGACTTCACAAAGGGAATTAAAAGCAGAAGAGGAGCAACAAAAAAACAAAGGGCAAATGGAAAGCAAATAATAAGATGTTACACTTAAACTTAAGAAAATTACATTAAATGTAAATGGAATAAATATTCTAATTTAAAAGCAGAAATCGGCAGAATAGATTTAAAATTAAAAAAAAAAAAGCAAATCTATAATGAAATGAAAGAACTAAATAGAAAATGTCAAAGGGCAGCTTGAGAAGACAAAGTATTATAATGAAATGTGCAAAGGCCTGAAGTAAGAAAGCCAAAAGGGAGAACATGCTCAGCATTTCTCAAATTGAAAGGACTAAAGAAAAAATTCAAGCCTCGATTTGAAATATTGAAGGGTTCTAATAGGAGTCCTTATGGCATAGTGGGTTATGCATTGGGCTGCTAACTGCAAGGTCAGCAGTTCAAATTCACCAGCTGCTCCCCAGGAGAAAAATGAGGCTTTCTGCTCCCGTAAAAGTGTACAGCCTCACGAACCCTATACAGGAATGCTATTGGTTGGAACTGACTTAATGGCACCCAACAATATGGGCAAAATATTGATGCTGGAGATCGCAAAATAGAATTTTACAAGACCAATGACTTATTCATTGCAAATACGTTTTTCATACAACACAAGATTTGATTATACACATGGACTTCACCAGATGGAATACACAGAAATCAAATGTACTATATCTGTGGAAGAGCTCCTTATCATCAGTCTAAACAAGGCCAGGAGGCAGACTGTGGAACAGACAACAAGTTGTTCAAATGCAAGTTCAGGCTGAAGCTGAAGAAAATTAAAACAAGTCCACAAGGGCCAATATATGAATTAGAACATATCCCACCTGAATTTAGAGATCATCTGAAAAACAGATTTGATGCATTAAACACTAATGACAGAAAGCCAAAACAGTTGTGGGATGACATCAAGAACATTATATATGAAGAAAGCAAAAAGTCATTGAGAATACAAGAGAGAAGGAAATGACCAAAATGGATGTCAGCAGAGACTCTGAAACTTGCTCTCCAGCATAGAGATGCTAAAGCAAATGGAAAAAGTGAGGAGATACAAGAGCTGAACAGAAAATTTCAAAG